TTCAGCTATATTTACAGGGCAGCCATTTGCTAGTTACAGTTCGTGTGGCAGAGGTTGCAGATTATTCACCAGAGGCATTCGTCTGAGTTTGACCTGGAGCCAGGATTCAGTACTGACTACAGACAAATCATTGAGACTCAATCAACGCAAAAAGCATGAGGAGTCTTCCTAACATGCCAGAGATCTTCATTGCTGCAGATCTCAGTCCTGAGGTATCAGGAAACAGTAAATCCTGATTTTTTTTAAGTTACTTTGGTTTTAAGGAATAAGAATCCTTGAAACACTCTCAGCACTGAACTGAGTCCTCCAGGCACCAGAATGGACTAATCTGGGCCCTTCCGCCTGACATGGTGCTTGTTGGGCCTGCAGTGACCCTCACTACCTTTCCCTGAGAGCCCCAGGGCAACCTCAGGGGCTTCTGGTAGGGAGTTCGTACCCCTGCCCTGCTCCCTGCAGGCTGTCCACAGCAAGTGGGGGCTCTCACTTTGGCTGCTTTTCCATCATGAGGAAAGAGACATAAAGCTACTTTTTAGCATTGCAAAGTAGAAAGCCATACAGGTACCCTGCATACTTTACTCGTGAGATGGATATATTTTCTGGTTTCTGCACATTTGATTTGCAAACTTTTATTAAAAATTTTATAGGCTGTGCTCGGTGGCTCAACCTATAATCCCAGCACTTTGGGAGGCTGAGGCGAGTGGATTGCCTGAGCCCATGGGTTCAAGACCAGCTTGGACAACTTGGCGAGACCTTGTCTCTACAACAAATAAATAAATAAATAACTGGGTATGGTAGCATACACCTGTAGTTCCAGCTACTTGGAAGGCTGAAGTGGAAGGATCGCCGGAGCCCAGCAGTTTGATCCTGGGGTAGCCGTGAGTCTGCCACTGCATTCCAGCCTGGGCGACAGAGGGAGACCCCGGCTTTACAAAAAGAAAAGTTTTATAAAGGCACAGAAGTGAAGTCCTTTGATTGGTGTCAGGCTGACAGTCCTGGGGAAGTGACTGGCTTACCCTGATACCAGGCCCATCCTGCCTTTCATGAAGGTATATCATCATGCAGATGATCAAGGCATCCCTGATGCTGATGCCTTGGTCAGGAAGCAGTGTCAGCCGGGCGTGGTGGCTCATACCTGTAATCCCAGCACTTTGGAATTGAGTCCAGGAGTTTGAGACCAGCATGGGCAACATAACAAAAACCCAATTTTACCACACAAAAAAAAATTAAAAACTAGCTGGGTGTGGTGGCACGTGCTTGTAGTTCCAGCTACTCAGGAGACTGACACAGGAGGGTTGCTTGAGCCCAGCAGTTGGAGGCTGCAGTGAACTGTGATTGTGCCACTTAACTCTAGCCTGGGTGACAGAATGAAACCCTGATTCAGAAAAAAAATGAAGAAACAATGACATTTGGAGACAGGGAGAAATCTGACGCCATTTAGGCACTAGGGCTTTGTGTCTGAAAGGCAGAATCCATTAGCCAGGCATAGTGATGCATGCCTGTAGTTCCGGCTACTTGGAAGGCTGAGGCGGAAGGATCGCCAGAGCCTAGCAAGTCTACGCTGGGGTGGCTGTGAGCATGCCACTGCACTCCAGCATGGGTGACGGAGTGAGACTCCAACTCAAAAATAAGTAAATAAATAAATGAAAGGCAGAAACCTCAGTTCTGTGGCTGTATGCACATAAGGAAGCCTTCATTTCCCAGTGATGCTAGGTAAATGCTATTCATTATCTGCATGGATAAAGCAATTGTTCACACGTCAGGTGTTTCCTAATTGCTTTCTGTGTGTCAGCCTGTTGCAGGCACAGGGAACACAACTTTGAGGCAGCACATCGTGGGGCTCTATCTCATTTCCTCTGTTTGTGTGTCAAGTGGGAGAGAAAGGGGGGAGGTCAGTGGCCCTGGAAGGGCATGTTAATAATAAGCACTAGGATCCAGCTTCTTGAAAGGCTTGGAGCATTGCTAACTCACATACTAGATCCACACCTTGAGCCCAGTCCTCTGGTCTCCACTCAGCGCTCCTGACACCCACTGGTGCTGTCCTGCAAGGCTTTCCAGAAGAAAAGTTTCTACTCTTGAGCCTCTGGGCAAGTTAATTCCCAGAGCACTGGTGGTCACTGAGAGCCCTCCCTCCCCTGGGGGAATGAGGGTGAGAGCTTGAAGGCTGCTGGCAGAGGGAGGCCCATCAGCAGCAGGTACATCAGTAGGGTGGGAGAGATTACGTCCAGCCCAGCTGTCTGCCGAAGAGATAACCCCAAGGGAGAAGAGATAAAAAGCTGTTGCTGCGAGCAGACATTGACAGGCCCACTCAGTCCTGAGCTCAGCTGCGTGAGCTGAAGCTTTGTAAAAGAAATGGCTGTGGTGGGGCCTTGCCCCGGAGCAAATGATTGGGCACATCCCTTTGAAGTCTACCTGCCACAGATGTGCCTGTGTGGGCTTGTGTCAGCTCTGGCAAGAGCACTCCTTGGCCACAGACTTGACCCACACCTCGTGTCTCATCACCTTGCTTCCCTCTGTTGGCTGCAGTAACACACAAATGCGGCCAGTCTTGAGTCAGGAGTTCATCTGTGGGCAGTGGGTTTATGTTTGGTCACCCAGGCTGGGTGGCTGCTGCTTGTGTGTGGCAGCGCACCCTCTACCCCCCCCCCCCGGACTCTGCAGGACTCCCCCTTGCCTGCCCCATGATGACCAAATCACAGAAGCTCCAAATCTCAGGGTTGGCAGGACTGGCCTAGCTCGAGTGTAGCTTCTCAGTCACAGTGTCCTCTCTCTCCTCTGTGACTGGGCTTCCCTCCCAATCGGTGGCCTTCCAGAGCTGCTCTTGCTGGACTGGGTTTCTCGGTGGGGAGCTGCAACTTCTGCTTCTCTATCACATCACATACATCCCCACTGACTACACATGACCTTCAGCTGAGGAGCCTTGTCTCTGGGGTCACACTTGTGGCAGCATTCACTGGCCCTGCCCTTCTGAGTACCCTGAATCCCTCCTGTCCCTGCCACAAGAACAACCTTGGAAGGGGACCAGAGGCGACAGGCTCTTGAGCTGGCTGTAGAGCGCCTTTGTCTGGGCTCCTGTGTGTGTGCTTGTGTATATGTTCACATGTCAGTGAACTTTGGCTCTTGCTGTCCCTCTGGCCCCCCTGTATCATGACAAGCAGCTGGTCTCAGGTGCAGCTCCACAAGTCCCAGCTTCTTGGGACTTTATCAGCCGCTCTTCACCTTCACCCCAGAGCCATCTCTGCCCCCAAGGCCACCTGCTGACCCCTGGACCTCACTAGCTCCTCTTCCGCCCTTCATACATTCTCTTTGCCATGTCTAGGACTATCTTAAAATTCCCATCTATCCCACTAACAGCTCTAGATAGATCATTAAGGAGAAGTAAAAATTTTTTTTAAACTCCCGTCTGTTAGCTGGGTGTGGTGGCGCTTGCCTCTGGTTCCAGCTACTTGGAAAGCTGAGGCGGAAGGATTGCCTGAGCCCAGCAGGTCGAGGCTGCGGTGGCCATGAGTGTGCCACTGCACTCCAGCCTTGGCGACAGAGGGAGACTCCAATTCAAACAAAAAACCTCCCATCTGATCAGATGCTTTCATTTTCTACTTCTGACTGGGTCAAGCTCTGGGGGTGACACGATCAGGGCTAGCAACTGACAGATGAGGCAGGGAGGCAACTATGGCTGCTGTTGCCACAGTAGTGGCACAGAGCTCCTCAGGTCTCCCAGCCTCATCTGCCTTTTTCATGGGCTTTTCTCTGCCTGGAGCCCCTCCCCCTTTGCCTGGGTGACCAGCCCTTCCCTTTCCACATCCTCACCCTTCAAGGCCCAGCCCCAGCCCCCCATCCCGTGCTGTTCTCCCACAGGGCATGGTGAGTTGAGGTCTTCTCAGCTCCAGATCCACCTGGCAACTGTCAAGTCTCTTGTTGGGTGTTGATTGCTCTATGGATGTGTGTGGTACACGAGGGTTGGCAGGAGCAGCATTAGGCGTGTGTGCTTGGTTCCCTGGTTGGTCTAAGGACTGGTTAGTGGGGTAGAATAGCCCGAGGGCCTGTTGGAACATGAAACCTCAGGGCACAGCCGTCCTGAATTGGAACCTGTTTTGTCTGAACCATGTTCTTGGTACCCACCTTCAGTGTCATCTGCCTGGCTGCATTCTGCCCACACTGGTTCTTCCTTGATCTGTTTCTCCCTCTGCTCTGTGAGGCTGACTTTGCTCATATCAAAGCATCTTTTAAGCGTTAAGTCTTCAGAAGGACAGACCCCTAAGACCCACTATCCAGTTATGATTGTTTCCTCATGGCATGCTTTGCTAAACATCCATCCTCTCTGCCTGACCACTTAACCCTACCTCATTGTGGCACGTGGGGGTCTCCGTGAGGCAAATCACCTCCGCGCTTTGTCCCTTTCTGAAGCATTCCCACCCCTGGGTGAGTGGGGTCAAATGCCAGAGTGCCAGCTACTCCTCTGGTGTCAGAGGTGATATCCAGGCTGGGCACAGACATGGTGACTCGTGCCTGTAATCCTAACACTTTGGGAGGCTGAAGCAGGAGGACTGCTTGAGGCCAGGAGTTTGAGACCAGCCTAGGCAACACAGTGAGATGCCATCTCTACAAAAAATTAGCTAGCTGTGGTGGTTGTGCACCTGTAGTCCCAGCTACTCAGGTGGCTGAGGCAGGAGGCTCACTTGAACCTAGGGGGTCAGAGCTACAGTGAGATAAGACTGTGTCACTGTACTCCAGCCTAGGCAACAGAGTAAGAATGAGTCTCAAAAAAAAAAAAACGGGAGGCATATCTACTCTTCCCTGGGCACCTGCTAAGTGCTCTGTAACTTCTGTTCTCCTTGTTGGATTGGAGGGAGAGTGAGCTCACCCTTGGACCAGGCAGGTTACCTTCCTGTTTAACTAGACAACTGGCAGTCTTTGGTAACAAGACAGCCTGGGCACTCCTCAGTAAGCCAGTAACCAAGCTCCAGGTTTTTCCTGAGAATTAATCCTTTTTCTTTCTCTTTCAGTGGTTGATATCACAGCAAGTATCCTTTTCTTGTCGGTACAGTTCCCTCTAAGGAATTGTCCATTTGTAGAAAAAGAATGTAAATCCTACCTTGCGGCGTGCCCTATGAGTTGAAGCTTTGCCCACAGACTCCCTGGAGAATCTCAGCGAGGTCGCTGGGTGCCATGCCCCTCTTTGTGCGTCCTGTGGCTTCTAGATATCAGCTCCAAGCCCTGCCCTGCCCCAAGCTCGAGGGTCACTGTGGGAATACAAGACTTGGAATTTTGGGGCAGGCAGGGTCATGCTGCATGGCAGACCTCTGTGGGGTGGAGCCCAAGCCATGGCCCTTTAAAGTGACTTTTTCTGCAGTGCCTTTACCTCCTTAACTGGACGTCATTAGATCCCGCAGTTTGAAGATGTCAAATTTGAAGCAGCAAGTCTGTTATCTGAATTATACTGTCAGGAGGTAAGAGCACATTAAGGTTTCTGAAAGCAAAGTGTTTCTCCCTGTCACTAAGGCACGATGGCAAATCCCTTCTGGCTCCTGGTACTTGCAGCTACTTTCCTATCTCTTATACCTGAGCACTGGGCTTTGGAGGATGGTCCCTTACTCACAAGGGCCAGCAGGTTCCTTCTCTGCTAAAGACTGTTTCCTTGTGTAACAGGTCAGTATGGTTTGCCTTCTTTATCTGGTTCTTGACTTCAGTTCTAGCTGAAATTTGCCCTCTCCCCTTGGAACAGTGACAAGTAGGGTGGCCTGGGTGACAAAGAGTGTGTGTGCCTCCTGCCCCAGTGCCTGTCTCTGGGCTGAGAGCACAAAGGATGGAATCTGGCATCGAGTTTGACTGTTCAGGATTTTGAACTAAAGCTACTTTCAGATGAGTTGAATGAGAAGTTATTTTAAGAGCAGCACAAAACCTTCCCAGCCAGTGAGTCCAATAAAATAACTTTTTTTGCTTTTAATAAAGTAAATTGGCACCCCAAAATAATCCTTTGGTAAGCATGAACAGGAACCGCCTTCTGGCACCACAGCTGCTGCCAAGGAGTCCAGCTTGATTGCCGGCTTGTTTTTTTTTCTCTCCCCAAACGTGACTGTTTCCTTTCAGAATTCCGTCGATGCAGCAAAGCCGCTGCTGCGGAAAGCGATCCAGATCTCACAGCAGACCCCATACTGGCACTGCCGCCTACTCTTCCAGCTCGCTGTGAGTACTGCAGCCCAGACATGTAGGTGCCAGGTGGACTGTGACCCTGGGGCACACATGCCTTGAGTACAGATAACAGCAGAATCCACACACAAAGAGTACTACCTGGGGAGTGAGGGTCGGTCAGAAGCCCAAACTCCACCTGCATGCAGCCTACTTAATGTGGCTAATCCTCACTTGTACCCCACATCTCTATTTTTAAAAGTAAGAATAAATATATAACTAAAAAAAAGAGAAAGAGTCCAGGACACACAGACACCCCTTAGTGCCACATTGAGTGTGTGGAGTCACAGAGACATTTCTTTAACCTGCTCACTGGCCCCCTCCAGCCTTCATCCTCAGCAACTCCCAGGGGTGAGGGGTGGGAGTACCCAGCTCCCTGGGGTGGGAGTACCCAGCTGCTGCAGGGCCTGGTTCTCATTGGGCATCTTCAAGCTCCCCTCCATCCTGGATGTCCTATTTGTGCTCATTGAAATCTAGGGATAGCCGGGCTCGGTGGCTCAGCCTGTAATCCCGCGCCTTTGGGAGGCTGAGGTGAGTGGATTGCCTGAGCCCATGGGTTTGAGACCCGCCTGGGCAGCGAGACCTCATCTCTACAATAAATCAAAAAATCAGCCGGGCGTGGTAGCGCGTGCCTGTGATTCCGGCTACTTGGAAGGCTGAGGCGGAAGGATCGCTGGAGCCCAGCATGTCGAGGCTACAGTGGCCAGGAGCGGCCACTGCACACCAGTCTGGGCGACAGAGTGAGACTCCAACTCAAAAAAAAAGAAATCTAGGGAGCATTTCCTGCCAGAGGCCTGCTGTGTTAAGCGCTCTCTGTGATTCCAAGGGGCTGCCTATTGGACAACACAGGCCCAAGTCAAACTTTGTTTTCCAGGGCCCTGCTTTCCAGGCTGCTGGGGTGCAGCTCCATCCTGATATCCGTGCAGTTCCCCCCAGCCTCCTTTCAGCTCCCCAGATGTAGGTAGTGCCAGTCCCTGAGCTTAGAGGTGCTCAACTGGGGGTGTTCTGTGGGCTGGGCCTTCCTGACTACAGTGGAAGGTCCAGCAGCCTCCACCCTCTGGGTACCTCTTCTGTCTCTGTCTTGGCCTTTGCCACACTTCCCCTTCACAGGACACCCTAAGGTATTCCTTTCTTGACCAGCCCCTTGTCCAACCAACCTGCCCTCCAGGTTGCCACTCACCCCCTCTGCATGACACAGACCTGTCACCCACCTAGCAAGCAACATGTAGACTCTGGGCCAGGGGTGCCCCCAGGAGGATCTGACTGAGAACGTCCCTTGTTGGAAAGAACTCACCCAGCAGCCTGGGTGCCAGAGACCCTTCCCCCCAGCCCACTTAAGCCCCACATGCACACACCGTCTCCTTTCATCTTCCCTCACACACTTGTGACCGTTGGCAGATGTGAGAGCTGGCCAGGCAGTGAGTCACCTGCCCCAGGTCTCAGAGTTGGTCAGTGCTGTGTACATGGGCATGCCAGAGGGCCTGAGCTCTCGACCAAGGTCCCCAGGTGTACCTTCAGGGTTGAGCCAGATATGTGTCTCCCTTTCTGCCTAGTAAGGATTTTGAGTTTGAAACTTCATTAGACACTTAACCCTGAGGGAGTCTCTCCGTATGGGTCCCAGGACACACCAGGGGTTACCCCCTAGTGATTAGCTACACAGGTGATCCACAAAGCATGCCGAGAGCCCTGAGCGCTCATGCAGCCTTGGGGGTCTGTGAATGTTAACTGCTGGTTTTACATTCCATTAGGTTTAGACAGTGTATATGTAGGCACCATTAAGCTTAGACAATGTTTCTACTGGGGCAAACTGGAGTTCTGTGTCCAACACAATTAACATTGATGAGATAATTTGGTTAGTTTAGCTCTAAACTGACACCGAGGCAATTTTGTCAATGTGTGGGAGGTTCCAGTGAACTTGCCAACGAAGCAGGAAGGCCAGGTGCTGTAAGGTTGACGGATTGGCAGCGAAGGTCATTGTTCTCTCTCTTTTTTAGCAATTGCACACTCTTGAGAAGGACTTGGTATCAGCCTGCGACCTCCTTGGCGTGGGCGCTGAGTATGCCCGGGTGGTAGGATCCGAGTACACACGGTAGGCACGCACTACCCCGCCCGCCCGCCCCCTACTTTCTTACATAGAAAGGGCTTGGCTGTCTGAATCCGGGCCAGCAGACAGAAATGGCATTTTACTGAAAGACGAAAACCCTCATGCATAATGAAGACACGCAGATTACAGCTACACTGGGACTGGATACTTGGCTGATTGCTGTAACCTGCACTTGGGGAGGCTGAGACAGGAGAATCACTTGAGGCCAGGAGTTTGAGACCAGCCGAGGCAACACAGTGAGACCTTATCTCTACAAAAAAAAAATTAAAAATTAGCCAGACATTATGGTACATGCTTATAGTCCCAGCTACTTGGAAGGCTGAGGCAGGAAGATCACATGAGTCCAGAAGCTTGAGGCTGCAGTGAGTTATGACTGCACCACTGTGCTCCAGCCTGGGTGATAGAACATGACTCTGTCTCAAAAATAAATAATAAATAGAGCTACACAGTAGCTTTTAAAGTGAGAAGATGGAGAGCTGAGTTCGTGGCAGGGGGCAGCTGGTATGCTCCCCACACTGTGCACTTGCCCATTTCTAGCGTTTCTTGAGATAAAAAGGGCTGGTATGATTTGCTCGACCGTTGCCCTTCATTATACAGATGTGTCGTCATAGATGTGGGGTGTGCGTGGCGTTGTTTCTAGGCCACCTCTGTGTCCACCCCCTCGGACACTAAGGAACTTGTCCATGCAGAGCAGGAGACAGAGTAAGTCAGCATTTGTGTAAAAGAGGGGATATAGGTTCACATTGTGCATGAAACTGCTTACACTAGAAACTGGTGCCCTGGGGCTGGAGGTCAGTGGGGGGAGACCGCTAGCACTCTGGACCTCTCTGCAAGGGCCCTCATTGGTCTCTCTTTCCCCTGCCTAGAGGAATCCTCTGCAGCAAGCAGGACCCAGACAGCAGTGTGCTTATGGTGTGTGAGTGTTGGAATTTGGGAACATTCCCACACAGGCTTCCTGCCCTGTGCTCAGGTGCTCTGAGGCCCTGTCCCCATCCGTGAGAGCTTGTTTGTGGAGTTGTTAAGACAAAACAGTCCCTGACTCCACTCTCAGCCCCTCCGAGCTCTGGACTTTGGAGCACCCATGGGGTGTCCTTGTCCCTAGAGCACTGCCTGACAGGGCAGAGCTGTCATTTAGCTGCCCTGGGATTGCTGCTGTCACATTGTCCGACCCAACAGTCCCATGTTCTGGGCCCTCCCTGTCCCCTGCATGTTACAGTTGTCTGTGTCTGTGGTGACACAACTAGCCTGTAGGGCACTGGTGCTTTGTCAGTGAGCCTCACAGCCTCCCCCCAGGGACGGTCTCACCATGTGTGTTCGCTTATGAGCATCCCTTGGGTAAACCACTGTGGGTGGGCAGCCTGATGTCATGTGGTCTGTGCAGAGTGGCCTGGGGGCCTCCACCAGGAGATAGTACCTGCAGGGCCTGTGACTGAGCTTGGGAGCAGTGACACGGGGCATCCAACCAAGTTGTTTCCTGTGTGACAACATGGGAACCTTGACATGAAATCTCCTACTGTGGATTCCAACAGTCAGAAGACAGGAGTGTCCTGTCTGTGAGTGTCCATGCTACACAGTACTGATGGGGAACAGCGCTGTAGCCTGGAGCACAGGTGGGAGAGCCGAGCTACCTGGTGTGTGTCCTTGCTCCGTACCTTACACACTGTGTAACCTTGACTCTCTGCCTCAGCATCCTCACCTGTAAAATGGGAAGAGAAGCAACTACCTGGAAAGGTGTCAGCACAGCACACTGGTCTCTGTGAAGACTGGCAGAACAGAGGGTTTGATGTTGAGAACATGGGGTCCCTGGGTAGGGTACAGTTATAGCTGCTCCTGTCCCCACTGCCTCAATGCCAGTGTACTGGGCCTTTGGACCCAAGGTAGGCCCTGACCACCCCCACCCAGCACCCCCACTTCTGCTGTTTCCTAGATTTGCCTTGACGTGCTTATTTTTCTTGTCAAGGACAGCCGCATGCACCATTTGGAAAGTGTGGAAGATTTAAGAGAGATGATAGAAGTCTCCTGGAGGTGGAGGGAGTGGGGGGGTGAGACTGCTGACTCCCCCGAGTTCATTCCATGTACCTTGAGAGGAACCTGAGGAGGCTCAGCCTGGTTCAGTCAAAGCAGTGAAGGGCAGATGGGCCACCGTGAGGTAGATTTGAGACTGGGCCTCCGGGCACCGGAGCCTGCCCACCTGCCCCGCCCTTTGTGTCCACCAATGCCCAGCCACTGTCTGCTGTGTCAGCGGGACTGAGATTACGGTGAGTGTTGACTTCTGCCCTGCCTGGAAGGCATCCTTCTGGGTGGCAGTGTGCCTTCTAGGTTTTTCAGCCACACGAGGGCGTCTAAACCATGCCATGAGAGTAGACATAGATGCAGCAGGACAAAGTAGAGCGGTCTGTGAACAAAACAAGCCTCACTGGGGACTGTTGGCCCTCATCCACCTACCTGTCCCCTGAGGGGGCACATCGGGTCCTGTGAACCTTGGGGTGTCCACAGTTATCCCAGGAGGCTCCTGTGCCTTCTCAGATCTGACTCCTATCTCTGTTTTCCAGGGCACTGTTCCTCCTCAGCAAGGGGATGGTAAGTCAAGGCTGGGTGGAATGGTGGATGCAGCCCGTGCTGTGGAGATGAGACCAGGCACCCTACAGGGTCTGCTTAGACCATGCCTGGTCTCCATGGTGGCTGCTCAGGTGCCCAGACCCACAGGCTTGCTAGCAGTCTCGAGGTGAGGCCCTGCACCAGCTGGCTTTAGAAGGGAAACACGAATTCCAGGTTGTGGGATTTGTGCTGAGGCAGGGACCCGATTTGGAGTTGCCCAGGCTGGAGTTTCAGGCTGGCCTTGCCCCCTGGGGTTGTGGTGCCAGTCCCATGGCCGGTGGGTGGGTGGCCTCATGCTCCCTGGAGGGGCTCCTGTAAGCCCTGTATTCTAGCACCAACACCATCCCTCTCCCTCCCCAGCTGCTGCTGATGGAGCGCAAGCTGCAGGAAGTCCACCCACTGCTAACCCTCTGTGGACAGATCGTGGAGAACTGGCAGGGAAACCCCATCCAAAAGGAGTCACTACGTGTCTTCTTCCTGGTGCTCCAGGTGACCCACTACCTGGATGCCGGGCAGGTGCGTGGCACCTCTTGTGGGCCAACTCCTAGGGAATGGCCAGCAGCACTCAGGGCATTGAGCACACTGACACCATTGTGCTTGACTGGAAGCGGGGTCTGTCCCCGCAGCCCAGCCCTTGCTTCAGGAGTATGACATGTGGCCTCTCACATTTGCTCAGTGCATGAGTGTTCAGAGGCTGCATGGGCAGTGTGGGGAGTCCATCAGTCAACCTCGAGGGCTCTGACCAGTGCCTGGCACATAGCGGGTGCTGGAGCCATGTCTGTCCAGCACCCAGCTGTGGGGTTGAACAGGGATGGACTTGACCAGCACGTCCGAGATTGGACTCTGTAACCCTAGTGTGGGTGAGGAGCAGCTGTGTTTGAGTGCCTTGTCTCTGCTTTTGTGATTGCCTCAGCCCTCTGGAGTGAGGGTTACCCCGACTCCTCAACTCCACTCTGGAGTTGCCACTCTGTCCCAGTGGCAGCGGTGAGTCCCTAGAAACCCTGAGCAGGCCCTCGCTGGTAAGGAGCTTCTCAGGTTCCCATGCCCATATTTGCCCATCAGACCAAGTGCCACGCTCACGTGTAGGCACGCAGAGCAGATGCAGACATATGTCTCAGGGTGCCAGGGTCTGCAGAGACATCCCACAGGCCTCAGCGCGTGGCTTCCCAGTGCAGGCAGGCCAGTCTGTGCCAGCCACTGTGCCTGCAGGACTCCTCAACCCCAGGTGCTCCAGCCTCCTCTGCCCTCTCAGGGACAGGCTGCAGGAAGGCCATGCGCAGCTCCAGCAGGGTTTGTGGGCAGTGGATGAGCCTCAGTCCCACTGAAGCCCTGCCCTGCCCTGTCCTGGGTCCCATGAGGCTGGTCCACAAGAGATGGATGTGGCAGGAGGGGAAAGTGGCACTCCCTGGAGGAAGGGACAGAGGAGTGGCCGAGCCGGGCCTGCCTCCTACTGGGGGAGCCATGGGCTGAGGTGTTGGGTGCCCCTGCTGTAGGTGAAGAGCGTGAAGCCGTGCCTGAAGCAGCTGCAGCAGTGCATCCAGACCATCTCCACACTGCATGACGATGAGATCCTGCCCAGCAACCCTGCAGACCTCTTCCACTGGCTGCCCAAGGAGCACATGTGTGTGCTTGTCTACCTGGTGAGTATCCATGGGAGCCAGCCAGGCGGGAGGCTGGGCGAGCACCCTGGTGACTGCTGCTGTCTGGTCTTGTCGCCAGGTGACCGTGATGCACTCCATGCAAGCTGGCTACCTGGAGAAGGCTCAGAAGTACACAGACAAGGCCCTCATGCAGCTGGAAAAGCTCAAGAGTACGTGGCGTCTGCCACTGGTTGCGGGCCACAGCGCTCCCCCTAGTGGGCAGCCTTGCCAGACACTGTTCTGGGGCTCAGCAACCCAGCAGGACCACAGCTCCCAGGGAAAACCAAAGCCCCAGGGACCTATGTTTGTCTTTCTGTGGCTAGGTTGGGAAGGAACACTGCTGCCTGGTTCCAAGGTGGGGGCTGCCAGGAGCTGCGACCCCTACCCACCTGGCACCCTGGTGTCCGATCTCGTGATCCAGGGCAGCTGCCACATTTCTAGAACCACCATGTCCACATGCTCTCGACCACTTAGCAGGATGAGGGGTGCGGATTGGAGGCCTTGCTCCATGAATTTCTTATTCTCAGAACACGCGCTCAGAAGCAGCCCCCAGCTCAGCTCAGCTCCTGCGCAGACACTGATGCCTTCCCTCGGGGCAGTAGGGTTTGAGAGAGATGATGGAGTCGGGGGCGCTGGGGCTGGGGCTGGGGCCTCCTCCGGCCTCGCACATGCTCATCCTGACTCTCATCCCCAGTGCTTGACTGCAGCCCCATCCTGTCCTCCTTCCAAGTGATCCTGCTGGAACACATCATCATGTGCCGGCTCGTCACAGGACACAAGGCCACGGCGCTGCAGGAGGTAGGGCTGTGGGGGCGGGGCGTATACAGACAGACCAGGGAGGCCCAGGAACCAGCTGTTAGAGTTCGCGGGGTCTCAGGTGTCAGGCAGGAAACTGAATTCACTAAGTGCTGTCTCGTCACCTGGCAGCTCACAGCCATGCACGGCTGATTAGGGAAACTAATAGGCCCTTTCCCAAAAGCCTGCACACCAGGGAACATGGCATATGGTATCCAGGGATTTAGGGTCCCTAGTGGTAGTCCTCACACCCTGTACTGTCTCACAGTTCATAACCCCCATGCACACCTTGCTGAGAGGACCTAGGGCCTCTAGTAGTCTGTAGGTGTCTTACGACTAAGGCATACATTGGAGAAGGCAGGTAACGTTCAAGGGTCATGTCCATGATGGGGTCAGGGTGTACTTTTCCCTCATGGTGGGCACATCCACTGAGACTTTATTCCCCAGTCTGGTCAGGCAGGATGTGGGCACACCTGCTAGCTGGGGGGTGGACTCAGTGCTGTTCAGATGCCAGGTCCCACGTTACAGGCCATGTGACAGTGGCATGCTCTCTCCCGGCAGATCTCCCAGGTCTGTCAGCTGTGCCAGCAGTCCCCCCGGCTCTTCTCCAATCATGCAGCACAGCTGCACACACTGCTGGTGAGTAAACCCGTGACAGCACCCCAGTCAGGATCCACAATGTTCCCAGTAAATAATTGTATAAGCGCCCCAGGCAGGATCTGGAATATTCCCGGTGAGCTTTTTTACGAGGATCCTCTCATCAAGTCCCAAGGCAAGTTAGGTCTGGGGAGGCAGGAATAACAAAGCTTGATATCTTTTTCATAGCTGGCTTGGTAGGGTCGCTTATCGCATTTGTCTGGGGCCAGCTGTGTCAATCCCGGTTGAACTTCACATAGGCCTGATCTGAGCTCTCAGGGGCCCCAGGTTACCCTGGATGACAGTGCCTTTTCCCTCCAGGGTCTGTACTGTGTCTCTGTCAACTGCATGGACAACGCGGAAGCCCAGTTCACCACAGCCCTGCGGGTAAGGTGCCGGCCCTGCTCGCTGCCCGATGGTCGACTCTCCTGTGTAAGGAGTCAGGCCTGGTCTCTGAGAGGGCAGCACCACAGCAGTCAGCCTGATGCCGACCCTGACAGCGACCGCTGCTTGTCCGGACAAGGGATAGCTACGGGTTGGGCGGCTCCTGTCCAACCAGGTCAGGGCTTCCTGAGCTCACCCAAGGACAGACATGAGGGACAGGCACAGCATGTCGGACCTCAGGGACACTGCATGGGCTGCGGCCTGTCCAGCCACTTTCACATCTGATAGGAGCCCTTGTGACATCTCCCCTCCCCTGACTGAGCCGGCTCAAGTTGCAGCTAAAGACAGGGAGTCACCCCGGATTCAGGGGCCTCCTAGTGTTGCCCCATGGCAATTGGTGGAGCTGGGGCACCCCCAGGGGCCTGGACAGAGGACGCCCAGCCCTGCTGAGTCAGAGAGGATGAGAGAGGATGTGTTGATAGCCTGGGCTCCTGGCCTCAGACCACGGTCCCACTGGGCCCTGGACAAGGTTGGCACCACATCCTCACAGCGTGACCTGCCCAGGCCCTGGTCCCCACTCTGCCTGCCTTGCCCCAGGACCAGGCAGTTGTGTTTCCACCTTGGCCTCAACATCCTTACAGGAAAAGCGGGCTGTCAATATCTTCCTCCCAGGTGGTGCTGGCAAGACCTGAGCAGCGATGTCAGAGCAGCAGCTGCTCTGTCTGACTCGGGTAGGGTCACTGTGGCAGTGCCGTGGGCACCCTCAGACTGTTGGGAGATTCTTCTCGCAGTGCTTCACATGGCCGGGGTGCTGCTGCCCCTGCCGCCAGCCTTAGAAGCACAGGGGCCTCGCATGCAGACAACACTCCTGGGCGTGAAGGTCTGGCTTGGCGCCTGTGGCTCAACCTCTGCCCCAATTCCAGGACCCTGTTGGCTCCTGCTGCAGCAGGGCCAGGACCTCCTGGCGACCCCACAACGGTCTTGATGTCTCCCCCTCCCCATCTCACTTCCCACAAGTGGTTGCTGCAGCTGGTTTGTTTCAACACCAAAGTTCCCAAGGCCATGTACTCCAGAGAGTCCCCCCCTCCCAGCCAGGAGGGAGCCTCATTCCATGGCCCACCCAGGAAGTGATGAGGCTGGGTGCAAACCCAAACCCCAATCCCCAACTTGTGTTCTTCCTGTGGTTCTGCAACAAACATCCCCAACCTCGCTGTGTCTCCAAGCAACTTTGCTTGGTTCAGAAGACACTATTGGCCTCGTCAGTGCATATCGGAGTCCTGTGGAGGGACTCCCTCAGTCCCTTGCCCAGCCCTGCTGGGAGCCAGGATCTGGATGGTTCTTCAGCCACTTAGATTGATCTCTCTCTTAATGATTTTCACTCCCCAAGAGCCTTAATCCATATGCCACCAGTCATCAGCAATATTGCAGGCCTCGGACTCAGAGCTACCCACCTTTAGGGCAAGGCCTGTGCCAATCTTCTGGGGAGACAGCTCCCTCATCCCCCAAGAAGAGTGACCCCACGGGCCTGGCATGTGTCTATATCAGCATGCATCTGGCTTCCAGAGGTCACTGGCTATGCTGTGGAGAAAGGGACCACCGGGTCTCAGGCCTAAGAGACAGCATATTGTGGACCAAAACCCAGTGCATTCTGAGGACAGGATCAGGGGCAGCTGCTTTGCCTTTTCTGTTTTCTGATAGCTCTGAGATACAGATAATGGCTTTATAATGAGAAGAATTAATGGCTGTGTTGCTCTTGGGTTTAGGAAGCAAGTTGGCTGTATCTGAAATGAAAAGAACAAGTCTTCCAAAATAACCACTGTGGAGCTTTTGGGTGGCTCTGATACCACCCTGTGGGCCCAGTGCCCACCCAGCCACCTAACATCCCATCTCCCATTCCAGCTCACCAACCACCAGGAGCTGTGGGCCTTCATTGTAACCAACCTGGCGAGTGTGTATATACGGGAAGGAAATAGACACCAAGAGGTAGTAGGTGACATGCTTCATGTTTGGTATCTTTTCTCTCCATTCTCCTCGTGGGAGGTTGTCATGGGTACCAGCAGATCACAGCAAACCCCAGGGTGTTCACCCTTCGATGGGAGCAGCACCCTATGCAAAGGCTCACGGGTGAAGGCCTAGAGGTGGGAGGGTGGCTGAGGCTGGGGAAGGCAGGTCTGGGATGTAACAGTCTCACAGCCACAGAGACCCTATCCCTAGGGCAGGTGAGCCAAGCTTGTTGAACCCCACAGGAAAAACCCAACATCCTATAGCCTGAGCTGTCTGCCCCAGGACATTCTGAGTTCTGGGGAAACAGTCCTGGGACTCAGGCCTAAGAGGCAGTGGCTCAGGTAGTCAGCCATACCTTGCCCCTAGATTGTCCTGACCCCCAGCCTCATAGGTGGGGGAGCCCTGCAGGGTTATGGATCACTCACTGGCTGCAGTGTTGGGTGGGAGTGCCCAGGGTTGTCCTCACAGACCAACTGCCTGTACATGGGCTTCTGAGCCAAAACTTATAGAAGAGTCATGCCCTCCTGCAGTTCCTCCTCAGCCCTGAGTCCCTGCCTCCAGACTGTCTCCAATTCAGCCCCTTCTCTTCATCCCAGCCTTTGTTCTAGTTCTGTCCTCCGTCAGCTCTTATCTATCAGAACCTGCAGCTACCCCCCAGATTCCTCCCGGGAGGTGGTTCGGTTGCTTTGGGCTATGGCAGCAGAAAGCCCAGCCCCTGCTTCTCAAGCAACTGGGAAGCAGCCGGTAGTGCCATCTGAGGGCCCTGGCTCTCTGTGCCTGCCCCCAGGAGAGCCCAGTGCTGGGTGCAGCCTCAGCCCGCTTCCGTGTCATCTGCCAGTCCATCCACACAGCAGCCAGAAGGGACCTAAAGCATCAGTCACATCATGGCCCTGCCAGAGCCTCCTGGGGTCCCTGCGCCTCCTGAGAAAGCCTACCCCCAGAGGCTGCTCTTGCTGGCCAGTCACAGGCTTGACTGGGAGGCCTCGATGCCCACAGGGGTGTAAAGAAAGCCCCATGCCAAGGTCCCTCCCCACAGATGCCTATCCCGACCCTGCAGGCTGCTCACCAGGGCCATGGGACTCAGGCAGCCCTGGGCCCATCGAGCACACTGCAGCACCCTCCTCCCGTGGAGGTGTGATGGTCCTCACCAGCCTCTCCTCCCCCAGCTGTACAGCCTGCTTGAGAGGATAAACCCAGACCACAGCTTCCCCGTCAGGTGAGCGACCAGGGACTCCCTCTGCTCCTGTGGGATCCCCTGTGCACCCCAGTACCCCAGCCACTCCTCCCAGACTGTCAGGTGAGGTTCCCAGAAACCTCCCACCCACCTCCACCCTCTGAGCCTGCTTTTTTCTCAAGACCCTGCCCTGGGGTGACGCACCGCTCTCCCTGCAGCTCACACTGCCTCCGTGCTGCAGCCTTCTACGTGCGCGGGCTCTTCTCCTTCTTCCAGGGACGCTACAATGAGGCCAAGTGAGTGGGCAGAGGGTGCAGGTTGGGGGGATGGCCACTGCTCTCGCTGGCCCACTGCCTGAGCCCAGGCCTCTCCCTGGCCGGGCCACCGCCCCCTCTGCTTCCCCAAAAGCCTGGGCCATCTGTATCCTCCTGGCCAGGCGGTTTCTGCGAGAAACTCTGAAGATGTCCAATGCGGAGGACCTGAACCGACTCACAGCCTGCTCCCTTGTGCTCCTGGGCCACATCTTCTACGTGCTGGGGAACCACAGGGTAAGTGCCCATGCTGGGCCCTCACTGGGCACCTGCTGGGGGTGACCCAGGAGGGCACCTGGGCAGGCAGGGCCAGGGGAGCTTGGCACCCGTGGAGGTAGACAGTGAGAGGTCCCATGGGTGCAGGTCTCAGGCACCGGTCAGGCAGAGCCCCAGGGCACAGGAGCCAAGCCAGCAGGGATGACAGCAGGCTCCCTTTGGGTGTCAACACCTGGGGACCAGAACGGTGCCTCCTCTCAGCCAGAGTTGGTGAATTCTATCCCTTCCACATACAGTGACCCTCGGGCTCAAGTGGCCCTAGAATAGGCGCCCCCAGAGCCAGCTGGTCTCTCCGGCATCTGTAGCCTCTGAGCCTCTCCGTCCACGCACCACCTGCTCTCGCCTGTCTACCCTTGCAAGGCCTTTCGTTTCTTTTTGAAGAAGATGTTTTCTCACATGGAAAAACATGGCACTCGTTGCACGACGGCTGGGGAGCCAAGAACAGAGCCAGGCGTCCTCTGTCCTCCACCTCCACGCAGGCTTTGCTGGCCTCACTTCTGGGTGACGTTGTCTTGCCTTGCTCCACGCCACTGGGGGAGAGCAGCAGGGCTCTTCTTTTTGAGTCAGAGTCTCGCTCTGTCGCCCAGGCTGGAGTGCAGTGGCCACCCCTGGCCACCGCAGCCTTGACCTGCTGGGCTCCGGCGATCCTCCCACCTCGGCCTTCCAAAGTAGTGGGAACTACAGGCACATGCTACCATGCCCAGCTAATTTTTTGGTTTATTGTAGAGATGAGGTCTCACCAAGTTGCCTGGGCTGGTCTTGAACCCCTGGACTTAGGCAATCCTCTTGCCTCTGTCAGCTAGGCTGGAGGGCAGTCAGTAGCATGCTCCCGGCCACTACAGCCTTGACCTGCGGGGTTCAGGCGATTCTTCTGCCTCAGCCTTCCAAGTAGCTGGAACTACAGGCATGCACCACCACGCCCAGCTCATGTTTTGACTTATTGTAGAGATGAGGTCTTGCCAAGTTGCCTGGGCTGGTCTCAAACCTGCAGGCTCAGGTAGTTCTCTCACCTCGGCCTCCCAAAGTGCTGGGATTATAGATGTGAGCCACCGTGCCTGGCCTGGGTCTCTTCTAAAAATGACAAGTGTTCAGCCAGGCTCAGTGGCTCAGCCTGTAAACCCAGCACTTTGGGAGGCTGAGGCAAGTGAATTGCCTGAGCCTGCAGGTTCGAGACCAGCCCAGGCAACTTGGTGAGACCTCAACTCTACAATAAATCAAAAATTAACCGGGTGTAGTAGTGAGTGCTTGTAGTTCCAGCTACTTGGAAGGCTGAGGCTGAAGGATCACCAGAGCCTAGCAGGTTGATGCGAAGTGGCCATAAGTGTGCCACTGCACTCCAGCCTGGGTGACTGAGTGAGACTCCAACTCAAAATAAAATAAAATGACATGTGTTTTGAAGTGGCATCTACTCTGCAATTTTTTTTTTTGAACTGGAGTCTCACTCTGTTGCC